CTTAAAAAGGTTTTGCTAAAAACAAATCCGTTCAATCGAAATCGGTTTAAAAATTTTTGTACGCATTTGTGTTATTTGAAAAAGAATAAACATGCGCGCAATCAAGAAAATTAAATATACTTGTAATTCGGAGGCGTTTCGAATTGCGTATTCAGTACCGACATCGAGTAAATAAATTAAAAATGTTTCGTTGGGTACATCAAAAGAATAATGAAGCTTACGTATTATTATTTAGCATAAAAAGAAGTCTCATTGAAATGAACTAGAAAATACGATAATATTAATGATCGAAACAATAATTTTAAATTATATTAATAATAAAAGATGTTTGATGTATATCATAGCCTAAAGAATGAAGTATATACGTCTATCATCTTTATACAAATTATATATAAATGGAATTTAATGAAGAAATCTCCAAATCACATAATATTTTAAGGTTATCTTTTTAATGTAAATATCGCGTTTAAATTTTGAATAAGCCTACCAAAAGAATGAAGTAAAATATGTAATTAATTAAATTATTCACTAATCATGGCAGCAGTGTCTTCCTGATGGCAGCTGAAAATAATAAAAAAAACTGCGGACGTCAACCCGCTTAGGACAGTTAGCAATAGACTTTTGAAAGGTTATGTTATGTGGTTATAAATGAAATTACATCATCACCGTCTATTATCCCATCTCATTATTCTATCCTATCCGTCGCTTATCCTCAGTTTATTTGAGGACATGATAGAAACCGGGGCCTAGTAATCAAGTTTCTCTAGTGCGGCCATAATGAGATTTTCAATTACAATTTTATGTACAGATTACTGACTTGGTGCGATTGAAACCATCATAAGGGAACTTGCAAACAACGACCAGAAAATTTTCAATGATTAATCATTGTTTAAACAAATTGTCAACATCAAAGTTTGTTTAAACATTTGTTTAAACAAACTTTGATGACTTGACTTTGGACTTGGGTTAATTATTTTATTGATATGTCAAAATTGAAGGATATTTCTGTTGACGGTCATATAATTAATAATAATTATACTGATGACATGGGGTGCGTTTGGCAGAAAAAAGCGCTAGCAAGCGCTTATAAGCGCTGAAATAGTTTTCGGCCAGGACACGATTGCTACTTCAGTAGCGCTGACACAATCCGCCATTTTGCTTATTTAATTTGTTTGTTTTGAAGTAGAGTTTATAAGTTATTTTGTGCAATATTAGTTTTAAGTAATATAATGACATGAATAAACATATACATGTTATTAAAATTCATGATTGGTAAGTTTTTAATATGTATACTTTACAAACATATATTTAAATTAGGTTAGGTTCCCCGGTTAAAACTAACATCGTGTCCTGGAGGAAAATAGCTACTTACGATTTGACAGCGCTTACCGCTTACGATCGCCATTTTGCTTACAAGCGCTTGCTAGCGCTTTTTTCTGCCAAACGCACCCATGGTGTTGCTAAGTCCATCGGTGAGTGCGTTGCGTAGACTGTTATCTATGTGTGAAACATACGCTGTTGAACATGGACTCATCTATAACACCAAGAAAAGTGAGTTATTGGTGTTTCGTGATAACAGTAACGTGATGTCTTGATTGTGCCGCCAGTAAAGCTCCTTGGTGTACCATTTAGTAGAGCTTGACAATTTAAATATTTGGGCCACATTCTTAACGAATACCTGACAATGATATATACGTATAGAGAGAGAGAGAGAGAGAGAGAGAGAGCGATGCGCGTTGGCGGTTCGATACAATATAGTTTCCCACAGGTTTGCTAGGTATACAAATGACGTAAAAATAATCCTCTTCAAGGCGTACTGTCAAACATTTTACACCTGCAGCCTGTGGTGTCAGGCTTCAATATAATAATGCCTTCAGGATGCTAATGGACCTTCCTAGACACTGTAGTGCTTCAAGCACGTTTGCTGAAATAGGTGTTGATGATTTTTATGGCATGTTAAGAAAGCGAACTGCGTCATTGTTATGTAGACTACGGAAGAGCTCAAATAGCGTCTTGAGGATATTTCAAGATAGGCTTGACAGTCGTATTCAGAGGCATTGGATCTTAATTTAAATAACTAACGAATGTGTATGGATATGTATATCTCAAATAAGCATTATTATTATTATTATTAGTACTAGTAGTATAGTTGTAGCACGAATGGGTCGGCTCGACCGGGGAAAGACCACGCTCTCACAGAATACCAGCGTCAAATAGCAGCTTAACGCTGCTGTGTTTAGTATGGTGAGTGTAGAGAACCGGAGACCTTTATTACTGGAAAAGAGACATTCCATCTTCGTCCTCACGGGTGACAACGCATCTGCATTTTGATTCGTGATCGAGGATTGTTGTAGATGTACTACTATGACTATCAGGTGGACTGTGTGTTCGTTTGTCACCCAATTCCTATAAAAAAATTAAAGTGCTTAGCTTTTATAATAACAGCCTATCAATAGTCCAATGCTGACACAAACGTGCCTCATAGTGTGCATATTTGTCACGCTCGGCACGTAGCTTGGAACCGCAGTTTTTTGTTATTTTCTGTATCAGTTCCTCTTTATCACCTCATACACTCCCATTCGTACCCACGAACGATTTTACCGTAGTGTATGTTCTCACACTGCCACGCCTTATGACGGCAAGGAAAGACGATTGGTACGGCAGTAACCACTGTTCCTGCCATGCTAGGCAATTATGATAAATCATCTACACAATGAGACTTCATCATCATCAACTTAAAACTAAAACTTTGAGCACTAAGATTTTAAGGTAAAATTTTGAATGATTTACTAACTTAATTTTTCCACTAAGTATTTAAAACGTATAAAAATTAAAATGAGTTTTTGTCATTTTTTAAAAGATACCGGGAAAACGCAGAACATATTACCGAATAGAACGCGGAAATATTTTACCGAATAGAATCTTATTTCTCATTATCGTTTTTGCAGCGTTACATCTCGCTTTACGCTTCGACAAAATGTATTTGATTTAAAGACAGACCGACTTACGCCATTACATCGCATCTGCACGTTTACGATGAATCATCTACATACGGACGATTACAGCATAGAAATTGAAATGTTATCACGCGGTTATTTATTGAGCTTGCTTGCTGCATATTGAGCACCTGACATGTTTATTTACTACTTAACGTACATACACATACTGCCATTTAATGAAAATGCCAATTATTTACAAATATCACCATGTAAACATATTATAATATAAATATCTTCTTCAGCGGAGAGGGAATACAAACTCCCGATGGTAAAAACCCTCAGTCTCAAGGCCAAGATATTAAAGAATATCTTTAAAATTTTCGAATTTCTTATTCAAATAATTTTGTAGTGACTGGAAAAGATCTAGAAAATTTTTTGACAAAATCCGATGAGTGCGAAGGGTATGGTAATATTTCTCAGTTAAATATTGATAAAATAATATAATACGTGTAATTTGTGCTACATGTGCTCAAGTACTATTGTGGAGGTATACATACATTGTTACGTCGTGAACGCTTTTCTTAAGTATTTTCAGTCTACAGTTGCGCTTCCAAGGTCTAATATTTAGTCATCAATTTTCAAACACTTTAACACCCTAACAAATATAACACATTACTACCTGAATACTTTTCTTTTAGTTTTTTTTTTTTTTTTTTTTTTAATATTAGTAATCCTATTTATTAACATTACTAATATTCCCTTTAACCACTCCTGGTAAGCTGAAAATGCTTGTGTTAGGAATATTTGGTATCGGGGTATGTTTTGTGATTTTGCTTTTATTTATTCACTGTCATTTGTGTGTAACGTTACGGTAGAAGACCCATTTTATTACCCATAACGTTATTATCCAACCAGATTTTAGCTCTGCCACAGAAAACTATTTTCTACAAGAGTCCTCGCGTATCTGTTGGTGACATTCCGATAGTATATACCTACATAAAAAATATGGTAATTAAGTTGTAACCATCAAATTAATTTCCATATCTTTCCTAACTTATCTAATTGTTAAGCTACAATAATGTGATCAATGCCTAATAAACGTTTTAAGCATAAACATAAATACTCACGTCTGTCACCCAAAGGGGTAGGCAGAGATTATAGACTTCGATTTGGCACGATCCTAACACATCTTTCGCCTCCTTCACGTCCATATACCTACGGATACATGTCCGTCGGTTGAGGGTATCTACTCTTAATTTGGCCCATCTTCAATATTTCGTCAATTTTCGTTTAGGGCGTCTTTTCAATTCTCGGGTATTTGGGTATGGATTCTCTTCAACGAGCCGAAACAATCTGCCGTCATCTAATACCGGCGGACGGCCGGGCCGAGTTTCATTTTCGAGCTTATAATTCCCCAGTTTAAATTTATTGAGCCAATTGTACACTATCCGTCGGCTAATCACAACTTTACGAAATGCTTGATATATTCACTTAAAAGATTCATTATTGCTTATTAAGGTTTAAGGCCAGATAGTCGTAAAGTATGCTACAATGTCGTTATTCAGTATTATACTCGTACGATTATTTAAGTTCGTTAGAATTATTACAGCAAATACAAAAACCGGATCGCACGATAAGATTTTCAAACTAATTGATTCGTGTAGGAACTTATAATTTTCCTAATATAATATAATCTTTCGGTGGTTAATAATATTCCTAATATAATTAACCACCGAAAGTAATATTTGATTATGACAAAATGCCATGGTAACAAAATGCAAGGAGTGAATGCAAAGAGTGAAACTCTGCATTTTGTCACCATGGTGCAGCAGCTTAGCAATAAGTTGCAGCGCTAAGGGCCATGGGTTCGAATCTCGCACAGAACAAGTATTTGAAAGAGCCACAAATGATTGTTCCGAGTATGGATGTTTGTCCTTGTGAAATTTATGGAAGTAAACTGCCCCCACGATACAGAAGAAAGTGTGGAGTTAAGGCTTAAAAAAAGAAACAAAGAAAAAAGAAAGTCATTCAACGACCCAAAAATATCATCTCACATCTCACCTTGGGATTCAGCGACGGCTAAAGTAAAGCTTGCAAAGACCAATTTAGTCCACCAACTGTGACTGTTTTGTTGCATCTTTTTACTTGCTGTGTCACCGGATAAGTTTCTGCATGTCTTCATACTTATGCAACTTCCTTGATCCAATTCGCGGCTTTCTAGAACACAAACACAGTTTACTATTAGTCTTGTAAACATACATATTTCATGGTTCGCGAGTATTTTTATGTCGCTAATCTAAACGTTTGATATCAAAGTCAGAAAGTCGGGACAGTGATCATTAATTTATCATATTGCTGCTTTTATCGCTCTGTCGGTACTAATCACAACGCATTCTTTCAGTAGTAAACGTTACCAGTTCGTTGGTAACGTTTAATGGTAAAGGAAGGAAGGGGCAATAATTTTGACTAACATTTCTCATGAATTTTATGCTATTTTTATAACTTCATTAGATTTTTTAGGTTATAAGCTGATTTCCCAAAAAATTGACAAATATAGCATCGTGGAAGCTCGGTTTATAAGTGTTCATTTTAAAATTTTACTTTATGCAAACAAACAGAGTGCAATCCCCGACAGTGAAATTGAAATTCTAAACTACACCTACTGATTTAATGTGGAGGAAATATATCAGAAGGAAATTTCCGAAATTAAAAATACTTTAGGTAGATGCGAAGTTCGCTAACAAGCAGACGTGCAATAAATTCTTCTCAACTTCACAACCCTCTCACAAATGGAAGGTGGTCGCATATAAAAACTTAAATTCTCCATTGACTTGAAAAAATGACGAGATTATCAATTCGACTGTATAGACTGTTTTTTATGTACTTTGAAATAAGGTAAGCGATTTTGTATATTTTCTATTAGCTAAGTAATCGGTGACCGGTTTTATTTCATTTTGATCTCTATGCAGGTGTACTCAACAAAATCGAAACTGATCGGCAAAACCAGAAAAACAAAACAAAAAGATAATTTTTTATGAAATAAGGGAGACTAACGATCGCACAATCCAACTGATAGTGGACGCTGTGGTCCATAGGCATCTAAACCTATCCTCGATTAGAAATTAAAACGCAGATGCGTTGTTACCCCTGAGGACCAAGATGGAATGTCTTGTCTCAAGTGAAAAGGATCTCCAGTTCCCTTCACTCACTATACGAAACACAGCAGCTTTAAGCTACTATTTAACGCTGGTATTCTGTAATATCAACCTTCCCAGGTTGAGAGAACACATCCGTGCTGCAACCGTAATATAGTTGAAGAGTAGTTCTACCACATTAAAATGTCTGCCGCAAAAAGGGCACTACTAATTTGGAAGATTTTACGATAATTGTCACGATTCGGATACTTTACTACGTTCTCAGCACAGCAGTACTAAGCTGTTATTTTACGCTGGTATTATATGAGAGCGTGCTCCTTACCCTGTCGAGTGATCCCATTCTTGCAAAAACTATGATATAACTGCAGCAAGGCTCTACACTACATATAGAAATATATGAAAACGGGATCGTTGTTTACATCAAATAACAACTGCCTACTCACTAAGGGTTACAAAACGCTTCCCTTGCGAATTAAACAACAATAAATCTTTTTACTAAAATGTTGAAACGTGAAAGCAAGAGTAATCCTATACTACCTAAATATATTACACCAACGGGCCACCCATCTTGTTCCTGTCGGAGCATAAATCCTCAAGGGTCGAACGACGATCTACGTCCCTTTTGCCCGCTTTAAGCTAACCACAAGGCCTGAGTATCTCCAGCTGAAGAAGATGCCTCATGAGTTATTTCGTTTTCTAAAGATTGTGTATAATGATTAAAGTACTTTTTTTTTTAAAGTCCCACTTTGTTTCTTCCTGGTTCCTTACAGTTCAGCGGTTGTTTTTGTGGTAAATTAAACTAAAGAGTAACTTGTAATAAAAAAAATCTGTTTCCGTTTTTGTTTCTGAAAACATTTTCCAGTGTGTAATAATGACGAGCAAAAATTTTTTTGATAAAATAAAACACGGTTCATATTCAAATACATGAATTAAATTGACCAGTAATGAAGTACAATTTTGGATGAATTTTCTTATATTTACGGGAATACATCATCATCATCATCATCATTATTACAGCCCTTGACGGTGTGACGGCCCAATATTATTATTAATATTTAAATTCTATATAAAGGGGCGTCAAAATATTCTTAAAAGATATATATTAAACAATAATATTACATTAATAACCATAAAGTTAATATAAATACATTTCAGACATTAGACCAATATCATAGTAAATTAAAGGCAAAATATTGTCTTCCATAATAAATAAATTTATTAAAAACTTGAAAAAATATTTAAAATAAGATAATTAATAGAAATACAAGTCGAAAATATTATAAAAATAAAGATAAATAACATTTATAAGATAATTAGAAAATTTGTTGAAAATTGTCTAAGTCATGGGAGGTGTTCATGTATAAAAGAAAATTTTCCTAAGTTGTTGAAGGAGTTTGTGTATAAAAGAAATTTCCTAAGTTGTGGAAGGAGTTCACGTATAAAAGAAAAGTTTCCTAAGTTATGGAAGGTGTTCATGTATAGATGTCTTGTATAGAGGAGCTGCCGGAGATACATACCTGCAGTTGTGCATATATATGGGGTGGTCGGGAGCCCGACTGCCTGAAGTACTGTAGCACAATGACTAGTCCTATATTAGGGACTTATGATATTAAACTCAAATGATACAAAAGCAATACTATAGAAGGTCTCAATGATGAATTTGCATTACAATAGTAGGATCGTGGGTTCGAACCCTATATATTAATGACTTATGAAACTAAGGTCTATGATACAAAAGCAATACTATAGAAGGTCTCTATGATTAATATGCATTACAATAGTAGAGTCGTGGGTTCGAACCCTATATATTAATGACTTATGAAAGTAAGGTCTATGATACAAAAGCAATACTATAGAAGGTCTCTATCATAAATATGCATTACAATAGTAGGGTTGTGGGTTCGAACCCTATATAGGAATGACTTATGAAAGTAAGGTCTATGATACAAAAGCAATATTATAGAAGGTCTCCTTGATGCATAAGCATTGTATGGAGTGGTTGGGTGACCGACTGCTCCCAGTACTGTAGCAAAATGACTAGTCCTTATTAGGGACTTGAAAAGTAATATTATGGTGGCGTGTGTGCTGCTTCACGAGCAATTGGTCCGAGGTAAACTTGGACCCGCTAACCGATGTGTCCTAGACATATCATCTTAGTGGTGGTAAGCGGGTTTGTCGTAGCAATACGGCTTTCCCGTGGACATCGCACACCCATACCGTTTGTGGGCGACGTCGTTGCGCATAGCGATGTGTCGTCTATCTTTCGGATTGGGATGATGAGTGTGTTTGGTAGCACTTTTAAGTGTAGCAGGCATACTCAACTTCATGTCTTATAGTGCATTAACGCTATGATACGTGGAGTTTTGTTCATTGGCGTCCTAGTAGCGTGCTACTATGATACGTTGGTGATATTTTTTATATAACAACAATAAAAACTTTGTTGCCAAAATCGATAGGAGTCATGTGGGTGTGTTGTGAGGGGGGCGCCACCCGTATGATAGTTGCATTGATGCTTACTGCTACTGTATTGCGTCTTGTGATGGATCTGCGGGTGTGCTGCGCCTGATTCGACGCTCTCTTGTGGTTCTGGTCGATGGAGGTATGCGGGTGGTGATGTCTGCTGGGATGTATGGGGGACCTTGGAATGGTGTAAGCCCGACGATAGTCGTATTGATGCTTGTTGCGTTCTGCAGCATTGCGTCTCTGCGATGGTTGTTTGGTGGGACGCTATTCTCAATGGCGCTCTCTGCGTCTTGGTTTGACTCACACCTAAGTAGCTTTGCCCAAGTCGGGTCCCTTCATTGCGGGGCTGCAGACTGTCTGCCCTCCACGATGTTTTATATAACAACATAATATTATATCTCTGTAACTTTCCCACCTTTGAATGATGGCAACTTGTTGGTGGGTGAGACAAACATGATCGAAAATGCATTTACTCAACGTCAGTGACACAAACCCTTTCTGATGGCGAATTATTACTCTTATCTTATAACTGCCTTTTGGCTATATCTGCCGTTGTATTGGTTGGTGGAGCATATGTGTCGACCTCATGCGGGTGGTAGCTGGCGGGAGGATCTGAGGGAGACTCTCAAGGCTGCGGCCGAAAGCCGCACAACGTGGGACCCCATTCCCTTGAGGTGAGCGGTAGACTCATGACACGCTCTGCGGCTAGTAGCCGTGCTGATCATGCAATTGGTGGTGATGCCATACACTTACATCACGTCTGCAGGAGCGGCGGTCTGGCGGGTGGTGGCGCTCACGGAGGGTTTACGGCCAGTGTGCCTATTTGCCTCAACCGTGTGACGTACATTCACTGTGGCTGGATTCGTTCGTATTCTGTATGGCGTTTACACGCATTGACATGCGCGACTTCGGTCGATGTTTGTGCTTACGCACTAACAAAGGGCCAAGCCTCTTTTACTGGTTCGCCAGTTATTTTGCTGTGGACTACGGTCCAGTTCCCGAATCAGCGTTCCCTTCGGCATCAAAATGGTTTGCGCTCACTGCACACGGCGTGTGTGGGGCGTGTGCCTCCCCTACATTTTTCAAATAAATGTAGGAGAGCAAAGCCCTTGTATTTGGTATTTTGTATAAATATATTGTGAGCCTTTTCCAGCGGGAAGGGATAAATAATAATAAATTAATAATGTAAACCTGATACAAGTGGAATAGGGACGTTTTATGTTCTTAACCTTTCTAGAGCCCTGTCTTCGTGAACGGGGTTCACTTAGCTTATAAGGCACTACCAACAGCTTTCAATTGCTCTAGTGAATATTCATTCTTCCAAAGACATCTAAAAGAACTAAGTTACTAAACAAATACAACGTAAATAAGGGTCCTAACTAAGATGATCACGCCAAAATATTACAGGCGACCTATTATTAAACCTTTTGAAAGATCATTTAGAATGATCAAAACATATCTTATTTATCTTGGTCACATATGTATAATTTTTAATATAAAGGGGAATATAATAAATACATTTAGTATTTTATATATTTATTACTATGAGAGGGGGGGAAGCGTTACAACGGGAATACTTAAAATGAATAAAACGAATTG